TTATTATCATTGTTATTACTTTTACTATTATCATTATCATTAATATCATTATTTGTGCAATCATTATTATAATCATTATTATTATTATTGTTATTATTATTATCATTATTGCTATTATCATCATCATCATTATCATTATTATTATTGATATTATTATCACTATTATGATGCTAATATTATTATTATTGTTACCATTATTACCAGTATCTTCATTTTCATTATATAATAATGATAATAATAAATTATTATGAGTATCATCATCATCATTATTGTTTCCTATAGATATTTCTATTATCATTATTGTTATTATTATTGTTATTATTATTATTATTATTATTATTGCTATCATCATTATTATCATCATCATCACCATCACCATCACCATCATCATCATCATCATCATCATCATCATCATTACCATTATCATCGTTGTTATTATTATTGTTCTTACTAATATATTATTATTGTTATTATTATTATTATTACTATATTATTATTATTATTATCATTATTATTATTATTATTATTATCATTATTACTACTACTACTACTATCATATTATTGTTACAATTATTATTATCATTATTATTATTATTGTTATTATTATTATAACTATCATCATCATGCTATTACTGTTATTATCATTATCATTATTAAACTTATTATTAGTTATTATTATCATTATTATTACAATAATTATTACTATTATTGTTCTTATTATCATTATTATCATATACTGTTATTGTTCTCATTGTTATTTATTTTCGTTATCATCAATATTCTTTATTATGGTCATTGTTATTGTTATTGTTATTACCATTATAATAATTATCACTATCTTTATTATTGTCATCATTATTGCTATTATCATTGTTAATATTATTGTTATTAGGATTGTTATTATTATTATTGTTATTGTTATTTTTACTACTACTATCATTATTATTAGCATTATTATTATTACAATCATTATCGTAATTACTATTATTATTAGTTCTTCCTATAATTATTACATCATATATCATCATCATTTTTATGATAACTATTCTTGTTATTATTATTATTTAGGATAATAGTATTACTACTACTATTATTAATGTTCTCATACTGTTGTCAGTGGTATAATTTCAGTAAAAGTATACCATTTATCATTCATATACAACTTAATTACTACTATTATTAATATTCTCATACTGTTGTCAGTGGTATCATTTCAGTAAAAGTATTATCATTATTATTATCATCATTTTCATTGTTACATCATCTTTATAATGATATTACTACTTTTATTATCATTATTTTTAGAATCATTATCATCATTCTATGTTTTTCATTACTAATACCATTATCATTATTGCTGTTGTTGTAAGTATTATGAATATCATAATTATCATTGTTATTGTTATTACTGTTATCGTCATCATTATTATATAATAGCTATTTCTAGTAGTATTATCATTCTTGTTTTGGTTATTGCTATTTATATAATTATTATCATTAATATTATAATGACTCTATTGTTATCATTATTATTATTATCAGTATTATTATTATCATTATCATCATTAATATTATAATGGACATTATTATTGTTATCATTAGTATTAGTATTTCTACTACTGCTATTACTGTTAGTATTACTACTATTATTAATATCTTCAATTCATATTTTACTCTATTATTATTGTCATTATCGTTATTATTCCCTTTATCATTCTGACTCTTGTTATTATTGGTTATCATTGTCGTTGTTTCTCATGTTTCAACTATTGTTGATATTTTTATCACGAATACTATCATTATTTTTTATCATCATTATTATCTGTATCCTTACTACCATTATCATAGCAATAACTCTCATCTGCCAGGAAAGCAACGTCCATAATTTTCTGCTTCTATCATGGGTTTCAGTTGCACCTTGGCTTCCCTTGAGGAACGATTTTGGTGCAGTTTTCTCTGAGGATTCTAAACGAGAAATCAATTCCTCTCGTGATTTGAGTGAGTGGGCTAAAATCCCTAATATTTTTATAGGATTGTGGCTCTTAACTACAGCACTTTATGTTTATCTTTCATTCTCCTTGTTACTAGCGCACACAAACACAAACACACATACACATATACATACATATATATATATATATATATATATATATATATATATATATATATATATATATATATATATATGTATGTATGTATATATATGAATATGTAAATATATATATGTATATATATATATATATATTTATGTATATATATATATATATATATATATATATATATATATATATATATGTATTTATGTATACAAATATATAAATATATATATATAGATAGATAGATAGATAGATAGATAGATGGATATAAATATGTTTATGTATATAAATATATATATATATATATATATATATATATATATATATATATTTATGTATGCAAATATATATATATATATATATATATATATATATATATATATATATATATATATGTATATATACATATATATATATATATATATATATATATATATATATATATATATATATGTATATATATATATATATATATATATATATATATTCATTCATTTATGTATATAAATATATAAATATATATATATATATTTATTTATTCATTTATGTATATAAATATATAAATGTAAATATATATATATGTATATATATATATATATATATATATATATATATATATATTTACATATATATTTATATATTTATATATATATAAATAAATAGATAAATATATATATATATATATGTATATATATATATTCCTTTATTTGTTTATATATATATGTATATATATATATATATATATATATATATATTTAACCCAATGCCGCCGGGGAAAATGAACAAAAAATGGGGAAAATGCTGTGCCCACTTTCTATGTTTTTCGTGAAATGTCTGCCGATAGATGGCTCTGGTAGAGCCTGATTTGAAATGGCGGGAAAAACGTATTTTTCACTAGTGCTATGAAAATCGATGGTGTTATTTTTATCATAAACATTATAATTTTTATTATGTTTTTTAACATTAGTAACAGCAAAATAAGATAACGTAAAATATTTCGTAAATCAAAGAAGCGGGTAAACGGGCGAGACGGGCGGTGCTCGTAGTTGGCTCATTGGGGAG